GTCTGCATGGTGGGAGGATTGAGTGAAGCACTCTTCCTGCAGCATTGTTGGGCATTTGCATGCGGCTCAACATGCAAACTTGTGTGCCGATCAGACTCCGGAAGGATCGGCATTGGGTGCATCAGGCACATTGAAGCAACCTCCTATGGCTTCAACAGAAGGTGTCGCAAAAGAAGGTGCGGTTGACGCCAATCCCCACAGAGATCAACCCAGCAGACGCAGGCACAAAACCGATGTCAAAGGCAAGGCTTCTAGGATTGAGGCACATGATGAAGATGGTTGACCACGTGGATAAACCCGTGGGAAAGCAAGAGTTTGAGGAGATAGAATCAAAGAGAAAGTTGAGGATTGAAGTGGCAAAGAGATCAAAAGGAGGTGGAACGACAGCAAGACTTGCAATGATTGTTGCCTTGTCCATGGTGGATGTGAATCATGGTCAGAAGCTGGAAGGTGGATGTGATGTTTTGACACCATCAACTGAAGAGGCTTTGGACGGTGAGACAATTTGGGACATTTTGTTCCTTGCATGCAGCGTACTTTGAATTCTCGGAACCTTGAGCCTGGTTGCGAGTTTTTGCTACAAGTGCGTGAAGTGCATTTGGAAAAAGAGAGAAGAGCAAGAAGAAGGTGACGAGCAAGTCATCATCAGTGAGTTGAGAGATGAGATTGAAGTCAAGGAGAAAGGAATTGATGAACTGCTTCAAGACAAGATAGATCTTGAGCTTGAGCTTAACCACATGGGAGAGCACATGGCAAAACTCATTGAACAAAGCGTGAATCTGGCAATTGTCAAAACAGACATGGCGCGAGACAAAGTCGAAGAACAAAAGATTCAGAAAACAGTTGCCAGACTTGAAGAGATGGAGTTGATCGTCACTGATTTTGGACGCGTTTTTCATGCGGTGGGGTGTAAATACACCATGCCACCATCATCATCCAGCGCAAAGAAATACAAACCATGTAAAAAATGTTTTGCCAGAGCTGTGAAGGCGTGTTGAAATTCCCTGAAACCACATTCAGCTCTGGCAGCATGTGATCCATGACCACTGCGCAAGGATGACACGGCACAGTTTCGAACTGACATTCAAGGCTCAATTTCAAGGTGGAAAATATAGTGCCCGCTGCTTTTCATGGAATAATGTGTATTACTATGTATTGGTCATATCGAAACCTTCCTTTTCATAGAGTTTTTGTCACGATTCCAAATGATTTTCAATATTTCCCCACGCAAAAACCTTACATCCGCATCCGTAGGTGCAGGAATTTCCGAATCCGACATTGAAGTTTTTGAAGCCGACGTTGGCCGCTTGTGGGCCTTCAGTTTGTGTTCCAATTCGTAAAGAAGTGGGCAACTTCTGAAGAGTTTTGAGGACAAAATCATGGAAATCACACAGTAGCTGTAACAAGGTTCCACTGAAAATCGAAAGTGATGAGACTTTTCGTTGGCAGACGTAGATAATGCCAAGACGCTTTCTGCAACAATGACCTGGGACACATTGGGACGCCCAAAAATTATTTGCACATGTCAGGATTTTTGAGGACGTATGAAAAGGGTCAAAGTAGGCGATTTGAGACAACTTACCGGAGCAAATGACGATGATACCTGCTCTGCGTTGGGTTGAAGCTGACAATTTCGTTCAAGCATTTCCATGGGTCCGCGGTCAGGAAATGTCAACAATGACATTCAATGATGCGACGGGTTGTTGCTGTTATCTACTGTGGCAAGCAAAAAAATTCCAGCCATGGCCTTGGTAACGGGATCGAAGGAAGTTCTAACCAATGCATACAACAAAAATCATTTTAGTTTCTGCCAGAGGATGAGGGTATGCGCATCAACAAGTGGCACTGTAAAAAGATCAAATCGACATGGCACAAGTCGCGCGAGGATACAGATATAAACCACAAACATTGGGGACAAACCAACCGACCAATGGGTTGATAGCCGATGGTTTGACCGGCCCCACAACGATTAGATTTTTTGCTTGGATGTCGTTGCCCAAAAGGATCAATGCCAAGGCGCGCGTGGCAAACTGCCAGGTGTTTTGCCTGGTTTTTTGGTGGATGTCAATTTATTCTTTAAGCGACCCGATTGAACGACGATGATTTTAAGACATTGTGGAAACTCATGCCAGGTCATTGTGGCGGGTCCGGCAGCCACCGGCAAGACCTGCTTGATTGAAAGATTCGTCCCTTGGATCATCCGTTTATCTTGCCTCAAAAAAAATGGGTTGATCTGAAAATGGTCTGCCCGCATTTTCAAGGGTTAATCATGGTTCATCAATGGTTAATCATCATTTTCCCATATTTTCCCTATTCAAGTGGCCAGGAATGGGGATTTTTTTTCCATTTTCAAAAACACCTGCATATACTCAGAATGCACTGGTCATCCTTGTGCTCCGCGCATGCCGCAGGTCGACACTGGGTCCCTGGGGAATATCCCGACAACAAGATACAACAAAACTGTTTGTTTTTTTCCTGAACCTTGCCATTTTTTTTGAATTTTGGTGCCACTATCTTTTTGATCCAGTCAAAATTGGCTGGAATCGTTTTTATTCATGCCAAAAATATACCATATATGCTAAGATACCACGTCTTCCGCTCGGGGTAACTATGCGTGGCGGTGGAAAATCACCAAGGAATGTAGATAAACCACATATCAGAAGTGGATACGTCCATATTTTGGGAATGATTTGGCAAACAAAAAGGTCCATTGTGCTAGCATTTTTTTGCTGATTTGTGTGGCCATGTTTTTTTTGGACACGAGAAATGAAGACCCTGTAGTCCTATGTTATCAATACAACCCAGGTTTAGTATTGGATCCATTCTTTTTGAGGTTTTGGAAAGCAATGGAATTTCATACGATATTGGCTTGTATCGCCACCCCAAAGACTTACCATTTTTATGGGTGGGATTGCCACCATCCGGCCATGGCGGTTTATGAGTTTATGACGTGGTTTTATTACCATTAATTCATTCGTTAACTATGGAAAAAAAACATCTGAAATCATCATTAATAGAAAGGGATAGTTAAATATGATATGGGAAATCGCTATATTCATACTTCACGAGGTCTTATTTTGCTTTTACCCGGGGTTGGTAAATGCCCTGTTGAGGGGATTTTGAACATCACAGTGAATTATCTCTTCGAGATTATATCAATAGTTGGATGTGAAAAATTAGGACATTTACCAAATTTACCAACCCCTGTTTATTAATATTTATAAACATTACATGTTTACTAACATTATAGCTTGTTGTTGCCAACATTTTTGTTGCCCCCTCCATCCTGATCCCCTTCCAAGGTGAACAACGTCTTCGCTGCGGACGACGCCACCCACGGACCAACTTTGGGCTGCGACTGTTTGCAGAAGGCCGTCTTTATCGACGACACTGAGGCGAGAACGCGAGATGCCTCAAGGATGGGTGAGTTTGAAGGGCAGAAACTGGGAGAACACTGCAAGTTTCCTGGCAAAAATTGGGAAACTTTGGGTTTTCTACCTGCCAAAAATGGGACATTTCGGGCAAAAGATTGGAAAAATTGGGATTTTACCTGCAAAGATTGTGAAACATTCGAATTTTACTGGCACAAGTTGAAACAGACAAATTGAAAAGGTGAGAAGCAGTGAGATCTTAGTGACAAGAACCGGGGAAGCAGTGCGATTTCACTGGCAAAAAGGGGAAACAGAGGAATTCGGGGAAACGTTTTTTTTTTTTACTAGCACAAATGGCATATAAAAACATTTTGTGCTGCCCTTCGTGAACTTCAGTTTATTAATCCACAAAAAACGGACTTAACAAATGTGGGAGATATGAGACAGAATCGGTGCTGGGTTAGATAGTTAGACTGAGAGTCGTGATTTATGATGATTTCTGTGGAGTTATACCTCCAGGCTGGACGTGGGATAAAGATGGACAAAGGGATGGTGGGAATCCTAATCAAACCACCTTGAAGCTTGGAATTTGCTGACAAGTTTTGATGTTCAGTTTCCATTATTGGCGCCATGGGATTCTGTTTGATTCGGCTGCTTGTGGTTGGTTGAAACACCATTGCTAGAAATGTCTGAATCCGTTCAAAGGGATGGGTCTGACTTTCTTTCACAGCTAGATCCACAGGGCTTGAAGCCTGAAGCTGCCCATTTTTAGGCCTTCAAATTGAAAGCATCCATTTTGTGCAACCCAGTTTTGACTAGTACAGTAGCCATATGCCCATACTTTTCTGTCAACATAGTTACAGAAACATTTTTATATTTTTGCTTCTATACCCAATTATATCCCACCATATCCCCGGATTTTGTTGATTACAGTGAGATATCAACAATATATGAACCCCAAATCATCTAAAACCATCTAGAATGATCTCCCAGCGTAAAAATCCATGGAGAATCCCAAGTATATTGTTGATTACATATCTCATAGAATTGGATGAGGGAAAATTTACAGGAAACCCTTATATTTGATGGTAAAAACCATGGTTTCCTGTAGATTTTCCCTTAAACCAATCCATTGAATATCCCAATGTCTGTTTTGATCTCTTACCAAAAAAAAATCATCCGCCAGGTGCACCTGTTCCTATACGACACTGCAGGGCAAGAGCGATTTGCAGATATGGCCGCCAGCTACTACCGCGTGGGGGAGGCACTGGTGGCCGAGTAAAAATGGTAAACAGCAGAATCACCAGAGTCTGGTCACCAGAGTTTACAGTGATTTGAATGGGGAACATATTAGAACATATTAGAATATGGGAAAATGATGATTGGCCTAATGGGAGTTTAGGGGCATCACAGATGCGTTTCGGGATTCCAGGGATGGACAGAATTTCAGTGCCGTTGGGCAGGTGTGCTTGCTTTGCTTCGATATGTCTCTCGGTTTGGATTAAGCGGTGGGTAAACCCCGTCCGGCTATGTAACTTGGACAATTATTGTGGCACAAAATGGTGGGAATATATGGGAATATCTCATGCCCAGCTTGTCTTCAAATACTTCCAACAGCAGTGCTTCGTGGGTTTCTGGAACTTGGAATCCTCACCGCTGCAAAGCAAGGTCTGATGTGTCAACCTTTGACCGGACGCAGTTCTGGAAGAAGAAGGTTTCTGAAACTTGGTGAAGTATGGGAATCATTTGCAGGAAATCAGTTTTCCCTCAACTATCAGATTTTTCTGCATTTTTTGGTGTCTCGAACCGTCCTGATGAAAGTTACGACCTCACTTGCAAACCAAAACCCATTTATTGGTGGAATAGAAGGGGAACCATGCCCCACTTTTGGAACTATGAAATTAACTCTGAAAAATTGCCCGGGGCTCATGGAAAAATTCGTATCCCTACACAATTCCCTGCGTGGCAAAATACGGTGCTTTAGTTCACAAGCCCAGATGCGCGCTGCTCAGGACCACAACCCGAAGTGCTTGTTCATCTTGGTTGGCACCAAAGAGGATCTGCTCTCAGAGGAGACTTGCGCCCCTTTTTTGGAGCGTGGACTGGATCTCAATATCTCGAAGCCCAGGGTTTGGGGCAAAGTAGCAGCAATTTGCAACCAGCCAAAAACGGCTTTACTTATCTGCAAGGTGGGAGAACCATGTAAGATTTCCCGCCAAGTTTGCAAGGTATATGCATATATATGATTCATACATAACTACATTTACGTCAAATATCCAATATGCAGCAATATCTATATCTACATCTCCATCAAAATGTAATTACAATCATCTCAAGTAGACAGAACATAATATGATCAAACACATTCTCATTTTGGTGAGGTTCCTTTTGTTGATTTTCCATATTTTATCTACTCCAGGATCACCATATACTTATGTACAAACAAAAATGTGTACATATGGGGATTGTTCTAAAGCCGATGTAATATTTTTGGTGTCCGAGTGACAAGTGTCGATATGGACGTGCGTTTTGCTGCAGTCGAAATGCTGCGAAAGCGCGGCAAAAGGTTTGGCCAAAGGTCTGGATACCACGATATATATATATATTATATATATACATATTTATGTAGATAAATGTGATCATTTTCATGCTTGGCTGCTGCGCGTTTATTGCTGAAATCGCTGTGGCATCGCCACTGAACCACAAAATTGGGATTTGGTCCGTAAACCGCAATGTCATGAGGGTTTCCAGGGGTAAGTAACTGTTCCAGGATGATAGGAATGGCTTGTGGTATTGTTCGATGTTCTTAAACAATCTATGGCACCCCAATTTGTATCAGCAGAATCACGCAAGTCATCCTGACATTAAATATGCGTTTCCAAAGATCATTTTTGGAGAAATCCGCGAAAGGGGCGGAAGGTTCGCGAAAGGCGAGGCAGGGCTTCAACCCCCCAAGGGCTAGTAAGGCTTACACGTTGCCATGCTGCAATTTTTCCGCAACTTCCAATTTTTCTAAGCGATGTCCTATACAATTCCCATATGAACCCTTAGTACCAAACATGTGCACGAACACATGACAGCACATCCCGTCCCTGTTCTGATGCGCGAAAGGGCGCGAAAGGGTTCGCCAAAACTCAAGGGCTATTTTTTGGGTCCATGATTTTCAACAACCCCATTATACATATAAAAAAAATGCATATATATGTATGTTTATTTCTATCCCGATAATATGTAGCAGCATGTAGCATTGCTAGGCCCAGCTCCTATTCGCCAGGAGCAAAAGGCTTCATTGGAACCTATCTCTCGGTGGGCTGAGGAGGTGATGGGATTCCGTCTTTTTTTCAAAACCAGGGGAAAAACACAAAATATTTTCATGGGGATACTGGGATGCTCATGGGGAATGTGGTCAGCCATGGTTAACTATGGTTAACTATGACTATGGTTAACTATGGTTAACTATGGTTTATGGTAAATATATATATATATCTATCTATATCTATAGATTTATGGTAGATATATCAAACAAATGGACCATCGACCAACGTTTGGGCAAGATCTTCAGCGGCATCCCATTGGATCGCGGAGCCCATTTCACAAAAAATCCCGTGGGATCATGAGGAGATATGGAAGATTAATGAAATATGAATGGAATTAAACATCCCATTCATATTAATATGTTAATCCCATTCATATTAATATGTTATATATGGCACATTTAACATCCCATATTAAGATTAATACCAATAAATATGGAATGAAATATTCATGGAATGTTAATGGCGGTGAAAATTGCACACAGGTGGTACTGGACCACAGTACTGGAGAACTGGAAAATCACCGACAGGCGATTATCATCAAGGGGCAATTTTCCATGTTAAATCAGTGGTGGGTATTTGTTGAAAACGTGGATTTAGCTGGACTGCCACATTTTTGATTTTGGATTAATGAATCCAGATTTTCTCTTTTCAAAACGTGATGGCATACCATAAAAACCCTGGTGAAGTGGAAAAACTGATGTATCTCCTCCATATTTCTTAGTTTTTGCGCCTACAAAACTGACTTTCTCGGCGGTGGAAACTTCGTGAGTCCAGGTTGTGTTGCGATCTGCCACGCAGCCAGGAAGGGATTCCATACTTCCCCACCAGCGCCCTGAGGGGTGGCGAGCACATCAGGCGGATAGCTTTTAGGGTGTAAACTCCACGGGAAAATTTCAGCGACCTCCCTGGCGAACCTCACCAATCAATGAATAATTGTTCCTTCTTTCGCTGGAGTTTCATACCAACTTTACGATGCTTTGAATAAAATGAATCAATGGACCCACCTGCCGAACCCAAGACTTTTCATCCGCTCAAAATGGACACAGCGTCAAAGATAGTGATGTGAACTTACAAAAAGTGGGATAAAACCAGCAACAAGTTGGTTTCACCAGCTAACAAGTGCACACGAACAACAAGCCGCGTAACCCACTTTTTGTGGGGTTGGACCAATAGAATTCAATAGAAAGGGGGCTCCGTTGACTCCCGCTATGCGCGCTCTTCAGCTATGATCCTTGCGCCAGGTTTCTTTTCCATGTGGTCGCAGAGAAATGCATCAGGCGATATGTGGCGGAGGATAAGTGGTGATCACATAGAACTGGGGTTGATTCAGCATTCACAATTCAACCAGATGTTTTTTTGTATATATAATATACATTATGTATTAGATTATACAGAATCATACATGTTCTGTTCTTTTTGCTCTAAAGCTGCCGCTTTGAATTGGAGAATGAACATATCATGAATACTGAGTATCCCCATATTTTTTGGCTCATACTTAAGTCCTTCACTTCTTGGTGGTGAATTGCGGATGCCCCTGATCTCATGATCTTGTCGCCTCGACCTATGGCCCTGGTACTGCGGGACCCTGCGGGAGCCTGCGGGAGCCTGCGGGAGCCAGGTTGAAGCGGGAGAAGCAGTTGTCCGACTCGGCGGGACTGAAACTGCAGAGCTCCATCGGCCAGCCCAAGGTTCGGCAAGAAGTCACTGGCTACCCTCCGGTTTTTTCTAACAGTTCGCTATTGAAAATGGCCCATTTCTACTTGATTTACCTATTAAATACCTATTAAAACTGGTGATTTTCGCTATGTGAATTTACCAAAGGGTAACTTGATCGGTCCGTTTGGATGGCCCAGGCTGGTTGCTGCCAGTGAGCTGCACCAAGTTTGGGAACATTCTTCATCGCCAGGAAAAGATCCTTCTGCAGCATAACGCTGAATTTTTCCAGGGTTTAACATCTCAATGTATCTGTTCAGATAGCCAACCGTGGCAAAACATGATAAACGGACTCACATGAGGCTCGCCCCAGAGTCCACTTCCGATGAGAAAATGACCTGATTTCTGTCAAGGTTCACATGAATTGATACGAAAACAGGACGAATTTGATACGAAACCAGGACGAACTTGATACATTCATACCATTTCATACCTCATTCTTGGTCGCCATGCCCATACATGCCATACATCCAAGTCTTTCTCAGCGGGTGACCGCTGATTCATTGGGTGGCGACGGCGCAGTCTCCTCAAGAGGTGAATTTATCAACTGAAATGGCGACAGAGTCTGAAGTGTCATCCAAAACCTTACCGGTACTTAGGGACTGGGGAAATGGAATGATTATTACTACTTATTATGGATCATTATTCATCATGGATCAACAAATAGATCATAATGGATCATTCGATAATTCCCTACTAAATGATCCATGTTAACCATAACGATCTATAATGATCTATAATGATCCATTAACCATTCATTCTGGATCATTTAACCAGCAAGAAAAAACACCAAATGTTGCAACTCAGCAACTGACTGGGATTCTCTCGATGTTTTCACATCACTGGCCGCTAGGGCTGACTGAGGCGCGGCGGAAAAACCATTGGGCCAACCTGCGATGAACAGTTGAAAGATGGCTGTGACAAAAAAGGTGATAGAGCCCTTCAAAAAGTAGGTCTTTTTTTTTTTCAACCAGAGGCTCAGTCACTAACGGTTAGACGGTTGGGCCATAAAAAAATGGGATTTGGATAGACAACTTGACCAAGTCTGTGGCTCCACTGGTACCCCATTTTTGGCGCCAGCTTCCCAGTTGCCGTCTGGCAGGTCCGATGACCAAGCCGACCATGAAGGAGAGCGAACATGATTTCCCCTGCTGTGGCCATTGGCAATTTTGTTCATATGTTATCCCATTATGATCCCATTATGATATAATTATGATATATTATGATCCCATGTTAATGGCAATTATGATATATTATGATCCCATTAAGAAAATTCCCATTATTTCCTAATTCTTTCCATCTTTTTCCATAACCAAGTCCAAGTCTTTCAAGCTCTATCACTTTGGGGTCGAGACACCGAGTGAAAAGTGTGGCTTGAGACCTAAGTTCTTGACGTGCCATCGGCAAAATTGGGGAAGTTGGGGAAGATACTGTGGATGGAGGAAATCCTGCAACAGTTGGTAACTATTGGTAACTATGAAAGACCGCAAATAACATAAAATAACCAACGGTAAGGTTTCCACCTTATCAATAGTTGCCAGTATTTCAGTTTATATCCCCTTATAATGTCCTGGGGTAACTATTGGATAAGGGCATTTTCACCATCAAACCAGCCAGGTGGTGGCCGTTCTGGGACTTCCAGCGGCTTGTGATTCCCAAAAGCTTGTGATGTTTAGTAAGCAGCGTATATCCCAATAGCTCCGAGTCTGGATGTTATCAGACTCAATAGCAATTCTCATGAAACACTGAAGGGTGAATGGAACGGACCTGATTTTAAGACGCCGCTGAAGAGCATTTTTCACATGGCAAATGGAAGGCGCAGCTGCTTTCCTGCTGTATTAATCTTTCTGAGCAGTGTTCAAAACCCCTGATGATTATCGGGAATCAACACCAATATATAACACCAATATATAACACCAATATATAACACCAATATATAACACCAATATCTTGGGGAATCTCACAACCCATGGGGATCTCGTCTCGTCGCAAGCGTCGAGCTCCCCAATATGGGCGGGCCTCCGAATGTCGCTCCGGAGGAGGGTCCCAGAAGTCCCAGGCGAAACCGTCTGATGGAGGGCTGACCCTGGAAGATTCCAACAAAAAGCGAATGATTTATGGATGTTTTTATAACCCCAAATGTGGGATTGAAAAATGGATTGAAAAATGGATTGAAAAATGTATTTCATAGGTAACTTGATCCATCTCCATGTACTAAATAAATATCAATGACCAGTTCTTTTGTGTCACCCAGAAAACGACGTCCCTTTGCCAAAACACTACGGCACTCGCAGGTGGCCGAAACTCCGTGATCCGCGAGTGCCTGCGAAGGCCAACGAGTTCGAGTTACGGCCGGTGCGGTTTCCTTTTGGAGAATGGAATACGAATGGGATATCAAAGGAATACTAAAAGATTTTAAAAGACTAAGATGAATGGGATAAATAATCATGACATATTAATGGGATATGAATGGATATATCTTCTGTGTCATCAATGTGGCAAAGGGAAATCCCCTCTAAATGAAGGTTCTTAGCTGCAAAAATCATCAAACTACATGGTGGATTTTACAGCACACCACGTTTGATTACCGGAGGGTGACAATTCTGTCTTTAATTTTCTGTTTTATTTGGGACGCCAAAATCTGGATTGAGTGGAAATTTCAGGTAAACTAGGAGGTTGAGGTTCTGGGAGTACCATGGGGTACCCAAGTTTCAGACTATCAAGTTGTAGAAGTTGCAGGATCTCTAAGCATTCCTTGGTTTTGGTTCTTTTGGTTCATGGTTTGGTGGGGAAAAAGAAACGCGCTTTTTCGAGCCCACCAGCCGTTTTGGGCATAGCTCGTGTGGTAGTTTGTGGCTTCGATGGTTTCGACATGTTTCGACTATTTCGACCCAAAATTGATGGTCAATGGTGCTGCAGGGGATGTATCTATATCATCTATATCGCCCGGGATGTAATTTTCCGAGTGCCTTCAAGCCTATGGCACCGCCAGCATAGCAGGTGCGCTTACGGGGTCCCGAAGCAACAAGGCTCCAACGGATGGGGGAACTCCGCAGGTGCTCAAGATGATCAATTGATCAACCCTCTGGTTATGACTAACATAGCCATGGTCATAGATGGCCTATATAGATGGTTTACCTATTAAAAATGCTGATTTTCCATGGCTATGTTAGTCATAACCAGGGGGTAACTGTTATGTAACTATATCCCATTGATATCCCAGTACATCCCACTAGGAATCCACCACCATATTAGTTGACACCAGGACACCATGCCACACCAACGAATCCAACGAAAAAATGGTCACCTTCGCAGGACCAATCCTCGCATGGAGGCAGCGTAGGGCACCACAGATCCGCGGCATCACCACGTGAGGATTTTTGCAGCGAAAACGAGGCATCACCAATGAATCAGAGTAGGGAACGAGCTATTTCTAAAAAGCACCATTCTGACCATTCTGATGAAAAGCGACCAACATCGGGATTTGATTTGAATCTCGAAATTGTTCGAATGAGGATCTTGAATTTCACCAACACGAATCAGGAAATAGCCAGAACTGGGGATCTAACCCACAGAAAGTCGTTTTTCCTACATATTAACGACCGGGAATTCAACAATCATCAAATGGGGAATATCATCATTTTTGACACTGCGTGGTTTCAGTATGTTTCGGTTATATGCAACAGAAATATAGGTATGAACAACAACACTTCGGATTCAACCAACAAATATTGGTAGTACAGCCACGAATATAGGGGGGCACTTGGGATTATCTTTGTGGGTACCATGTATATAATCGTTGTGATGTCACCTCCATAAGTTGGTATGTAACCCTCTATACCTCTGGTTATATGTTCAAGTATAACTGGAATTGCACCCCAAGGAATATAGGATATATGGCGGTTTCAAAGACAACTGAGCAGTGCTCAAAACCCATGTTGGTGGGGGCTGTACTACTTGATATGTTGGGGATTATCATAATCCATGAACTCCATGAACTGGGAAATCCGTTCTTAACTAGCCAGTTTTTTTGAAGGGAAAATCCACCATTTACAGGTGGGCAACACCTGTCATATCAGTGCATGCCTGCAGTGTATCAGGCTCGTATTCTGTATCGGTGTTGTCATTGTTACACCAGAGGCTCATTCATATCATGCAAGCGCATTGATTTTCTGGCTTCAACGGTTCATTCCTGTGATTCATCTGTCTTTTTGGCACGCATCTGCATAGCCAAGTTAAGTTTATTCGTTTGGCTGCTCAGCCACATGGACAAGCACGGCTAGGCATTATTGCTTCAGTTTCAATTGAAAGTGGCTAAGAATGCTGGTTCATGTTAACACTTTCCCCTGCGGATTCGCAATTTCCTATAAGCCTAGCTGTTGGCCGAGACTAATTTGTCCTTCTTAGCGAGGTTTGCCAAAAATTGCTTGTCGGGGTTCAATTGCCAGCTTGTTGGGGGGTGAACTTCCCAGTTCTTGTCGGGATTTTAACGTCCTCTCGATGGATGGATAGATAGATCGATCGATCGATAGATAGATAGATAGATAGATAGACAGAGAGAGAGAGAGAGAGACACACAGATAGATAGATAGATAGATAGATAGCCAGCCAGCCAGCCAGCCAGACAGACAGACAGACAGACAGACAGACAGAGATACAGACAGAGATACAGACAGAGACAGAGACAGACAGAGACAGAGACAGACAGAGACAGAGACAGACAGAGACAGAGACAGACAGAGACAGACAGAGACAGACAGAGACAGACAGAGATACAGAGATACAGAGATAGAGAGATACAGAGATACAGAGTCACAGACAGAGTTACAGACAGAGATACAGACAGAGATACAGACAGAGATACAGACAGACAGCCAGGCAGACAGACAGACAGGCAGACATACATACATACAGACATACAGACAGACATACATACATATGTAAGATATAACATGATAATATGATATAATATGTACATCTGATGATATATATATACATACTGTATCTGTATATATACTTATATGTATGTATACATATGGATATGTATGTATATACATATAGGTATACATATACATATATACACGCATATATAATATACACATATGCACATATACATATATGTTACATGTTTCATTATATATATATATACAAACATATTTAAGTAAACATATCATATGGCTTGTACAACATTTACACAT